GGAATTCTGACTGCAACAGGTATCTAAGTGACATCTCAATTTTAATACATGCAACACTGAGTACCTCCTATAACTTACACACCTCAGTTAAGGGCAACTCCCTTCTTCTCGCTGTTCAGACCAAAAACCTAGTGTCATCCTTACATATCTTTTTATCTCATACCCAATATTTGCAAGTGTTCTCTGCTCTTCCCTCTACATAGATCTAGAACCCAGGCACTTTTCACCACCTCCACTGCTCTCCTCTGGACCCAGCAACCACCACCACTGCTCACCTGGATTATTATTAGTGGCTTCCTAACTAGTCTATCTGCTATCAGTAGTAGCAGTGGCTTCCTAACTAGTCTACCTGCTCCCCTCTTGCCAGTCTTCAGTTCCTTCCAACACAGCAAAATGATCCTGTTAACACAGGAGTAAAATTATATCACTCTTCTCTTCAAGCCCTCCGCTGGTTTTTCATCTCACTCAGAACAAAAGAAAACATCTTTACAATGACCTACAATACTATGCGATCTGGCTGGATAATGCCTTTCCAACCCCATCGCATACTTGGTCACTTTGCTTCGGCCACACTGGCCTTCCTTGTGATTCCCTGTCCTCCTAATCTCAAAGCCTTTGAGCTTGCTATTCCCTTTGCCTGGGACACTTTTCCCACAGATATCCTCACTTGCTCCCTCATCCTCCTCAGATCTTTGCTTAAATGTTATCTTCTCAGTAAGACCCCAGGCTACTTCTAAAACTAGTAACAGCCCTTCCTCATTTTATTTCTATTCTAAGCAATTATAGCATTTAACATTTTATATATTCTTCCTGTTTGTCTCTACCCTGTAGAAAGTCAACTCTGTGAGGCAGGCGTTTATATCTGTTCTGTTCACCACTCTATGCCCAGTCTCTAAGCCAATAGCTGAAACAATGGGTACTTAAATATCTATTGAATTAACTATGCTAGATACCATTCAGTCAACTGGTCACAATTTAAAAGTCCAACAGTACTATGTATTTGCAGAGATACTGAACACTAGGAACTCTAGCTCATCTTTACTGTGGAAAGCAATTTGGCAATATCTAGAAAAGTTTATGACTGCACACCTAAGGAACCAGCAATATTTTTTCTCAGTTGTATATTTATTTATACCAACAAGGATAGTACACTAGGAAGCAGAATCGTTTCAAGGAGTATGGTCAGCTTACCTAGAGAACACTACATACTGCAGAATTTTTATTATCAGAGAATGAAGTTGAGCTCTCGAAAGTAAACCAATATAGCACCAAAACACTGAGTGTGAAGAAAGCATGGAAGCTCTTCTCAGTCTTATGCTATCATGAGAAGAAACTGATAAATCAGCAACAGAGTGGGAAAGAAACGTAGGCACATATCAAAAGACAGAGTTTTTTGGCAATCACCAAAAAAACCAATCACAGATAAACAAGCTACTTCAGAAGAAATCAGTAAGCAAAGACACTACAAGAAAAATACATGGGAGACTCAATCCATGCCAGGTTTTCAATTATGAATAAAATGCTAAAATAAATAACCAAAATCATAAACCAGAGGACAGGCCTGCTAGGTTGGACAAAAAAAAAAATTTTTTTTTTTTGAGATGGAGTTTTGCTCTTGTTGCCCAGGCTGGAGTGCAGTGGTGCGATCTCGGCTCACTATAACCTGCTCAGTTGAAGCAATTCTCCTGCCTCAGCATCCCTAGTCGCTGGAATTACAGGCGCCTGCCACCACCGCCAGCTAATTTTGTGTATTTTTAGTAGAGACGAGGGTTTCACTATGTTGGCCAGGATGGTCTCGAACTTCTGACCTCAGGCGATCCACCTGCCTCGGCCTCCCAAAGTACTGGGATTACAGATATGAGCCACCGCGCCCAGCCTGGACTAGAATTTTTAACTGCCTTCCAACATTTATGAAGTATCTCTTTTTGACAGATACTAGTAACTGACTATACACTGATTGAATTAAATCTACTTTAGTCCACAAGTTAATTTCATTGCATTACTTCAATTTTCTCCCCCTACATCTTTTGGCAGAACGGCTGATGAGAATTAAAACTAACCAGCTCATATTTTACCTTCATTCCCCTTCTACCACCTTGAAGAAAAATGCTTATAAACCCATAATTGGCCAAAATATAGGTACCAAGAGGGAAGCACTCATTTGACAGGAAAAATTATTTAGTCCTTGAACAGTCAATGAGTTGAGAAAAATCCACAAACCTAAAGAAGTTATGCTATTTGAATCATCTATGGTAATGACAAACTGAATCCTGTGCTTCTGACTCACAATTTTATGATGTACTTCTTTCCTGCTCAGAAAAGCATCTTCTATTAAGTTAGAAGAGAATGCATCACTTTATGGTTCTTAGTCTCGTGCAGGCGTTCAAAAATACAGGTGGATAAAGAAGAAAGGTAGAACTAAACAGCAACATCAAAGTCATGCGGAAGAAAAAATTCAAAACAGTCCCAAAGTATTATTTTTGTTTTACTTCTCTGCTTCTCACATCTGCATCCTCTGTATCTTTTTAACCTGGCAATAATTATTTATTAAGGTAATTGCAGATTCACACATAGTTGTAAAGAAATAATACAGAGAGATCTCTTGTACACATTGCCCAGTTTCCCCCAATATCATTTTGGAAAACCATAATATAATATCACAACCAGGAGAGTGACACTGAAACTGATACAATCTGCCAATCTTATTCAAATTTATTCATACTCATTTGTGCACATGTGTGTATATTAAGTTCTATACAGTTTTATCACCTGTGTAGGTTCGTGTATCTGCCACCACAGTCAAGATACTAAACAGTATCAGCATCCCAGGGATCTGTCATGCTGCCCCTTTATAACCACATCCGCCTCCCACCCTCCCATCCCCAACACCTGGAAATCACTCGTCTATCTTCCACTTATTCTTTAAATTCTTACGCCACACCTTAGTAGGGACCCTGCAGCCATCTGTACACCCAGCACTCCCCCATTATTCCCTGTTACTGCTCTACAGCATCACATCACTGAAGGTGCAATCGATCTTAGATTACAGCTGATCACGGATAGACTGGGTCTTCACTGTATTGACAGAGAAGACTATCCAAAAGCACAATCAAAAACTTGGTGCTCAGTGCATCTGGCTCCAATAAGTGCATATCCACTACTATGCATATGCCCGGCTACTTAAAAAAAAGGAAGAAAAAAGAGAACGTATATTCTAGAAACTTTATCATGCTTCCTATAAATATAAGTAATGTTTCCTCCAATATCAAAGAAAACATTTATTTTTCTCAGACTATCAAATTTACAGCGGCATGGCTCAGCTTTTTCCACTTCCAGGAAGGCTTTTATCTATCGCAAAGACTTTAGTCTTTCTACATCAGTACATGGAAACCCTTACTTCCACTTAACATCATTTTTTTCCCTTACAAGCCATTAGCAACACCGTCCTTTACTTGAATTTAAAATCCAAAGAACAAAGGATACATTGCTAGTTATAAAAGTGGGATTTAAAAATATAAATGCAATGTCTGTGCAAGTTTTAGAGCACTAAGCAGTATGCATGCAACTGGAATTCTTACCTGCAGAGCTGAGGAGGACACTGAAATCTGTTCCCCTCTGGGACTCTCCACTTTCATTATTGACCTCTTTTTCAATATCTTGATATCGATCCCAGTTAGAGACAATCTTTCTTTTAGAATAATTTCCCTGTTCATCATTCTCTTCTCCATAGGTCTCTGCATCGCTGTCGTCTTCAATCTGCAACCATTAGAGATAAATCAATAAGTAGGCAGTGGAAATCCTGACCTTAGTAGACTTCCTGTAAAATAAAACAAAAAAGTACATGGGCATATCAATAAAAAGCAATACACCAAGCTGTCTGAAGATATTAAATAGTAAGAGAATCACACTATACCAGAGTGTTCTTTCAGGGTGAACTTTTCAGTAATCATTGAAAAGGAAATCTAGCAAGCAGCTGCCTGAACATTTGTGTAGCTGATCTCTAAAACCTATCCCTGTGTATCCTACAGGGAATTAAGTTTCATCCAGTCAAAAGAATCAAGGCTGTAAGTATCTTAAACTCAAAGGACTTCAGGATGGAAATCAACTCTCCCTTTCAATTTATGGATTTTACAAACGCATTCCATAAATATGTTTATAAGATTTAACTTTTTAGAGCCATTAAAGTATGACATGATTTAAAACTATTTAACTTAAACACACTCGTAGGAAAACACTATTACATATAGTGAGGGACAATGACTTGTGAAATGGTGTATGAATTTACATGGTACCACATTTACACATGATTCCATACTCTAGAATAATGAAAACCATTGCGCATCTAAATTTGTTTTAGTACTTCTTATTAACAACTTGAGTTTGGAATAAATACATGTTATAAACAGAACTATCCAGATAGGGGATTAATGAATGTTCTGAGGTTATATATTGACACAAATCTACTTTTAAATATTGAGAGGAGACAAATTACTGACAAAGTCAAGGCCACTTCTTTTGCCCTTGATAGCCTTCTGTGAGCGCCCTCTCAGGTGTCCTCTTAGCACTCTCCAGGCTCAATTTCTCCAACTTGTCTGTGTCATTTTTCAGGTAGTGTCTGTGTGAGCAACTAGTTGTATACATGTGGACACACACACACATACACAATGCTCCTAGTAAAAAGGCTGCACAAAATCTTAATTCAATAGAGAAGAAAGTGCTTGGGTATACAAAAGTTCCCTGTATTACAACTGACTATGTTGTATAGATTTCTACAAGCTTTAAATAGCAACCCTGCTCAGACGCAGTCTAGAGAACAGTTTCCAGTGTTAGGCACTGAAAGGTTAAGACAGAATGCAGAAAGATACACAATGTGAACAATTCTAGAAGGAGCCCAGTTTCTTCAACAAATAAACTGCAGGGGAAAAAAATGGTAGCAGAGGATGGAGACACCTATAAACCAAATAAGCTTAAGGCATAACCAGCTGTAATGTAGGGAACTTATTTGTACTCATTTGAACAATCTAGAGGAAATAATGACTATGAGACAACTGGGAAAAAGTAAATAATGACTGGATATTTGATTACATTAAGGAAATACCACTAATTTATTGTTTGTTTTTTATAATACTGGTATTGTAATTTTTTTTAGTGTTGTTAACTTTTAGATATAAACACTGAACTCTTTATGGATGAAAAGGTAGGACATGTGAGATTTGCTCCAAAATAGTAGGTGGAGAGGAATGGTGGATAGACATGAAATACACTATACTTAATTGGTAATTGCTGAAGCTGGATGATGGGTACATGGAAAATCATATTATTATTCTATCTACTTTTGCATGTATTTAAATTTTTTCATAATAGAATATTAAATTTTTAAAAGAGAGAGAGATGCACATAGAATCTTGTGTCCCAAACATTACAAAATCCTTATCAAGAAAAAAATGAGTAAAATATATTAAAACAACTCATCTGTATAGGATGGGTTGGACTTAAAAAAAATAGTGTGGACTTAAAAAAAAAACAAGTTTTTATTAACACAGAAACAGGACATATGTATTGGAGAAAATTAGGAGGAAAAGACAAGCAAAACTAAAATAAATAAAAACCCCAGATTCCATCACCCACAGAGTACCACTAACCCCTTAGTACAAAAATTTCCAGATCTTTTTCTATGTATATATTTATATATACTTCTTTTTGGTCACCAGATTTTTAAAAAATATTCATCTCTCCATTTAATAAATTTCATTTCATGTAACACCCAGGCTATTTCCAAATTTCCCTAACCCAAAAAATGTCCTATACAGCTGTTTTTTCCCAGACAGTATCCAATCTAGGACCAGGAACTGTATCTAATTGTTTATTCCTTAAGTCTCTTTGAATCTAGCACAGTCCCTATTTTTATGACACTGACTTATTGACAAGGCCAGGCCAGGTCTGGCTGCTTCCTCATGGTATTATTTATAGATTTTTTTTTATCTCCAATATTATCTATAAACTAATCTTAAAAATTTAAGTGCTCAATGGAGTCAAGCTAAATATTTTTGGCTAAAATACATCACAGATGGTGCTTTGAACCCTTTGTTACATCACATAAGATGGCTGAACAAACATAAGCACTATATATAATAACTAAGATGGGCCACAGGGTTGGGATAATGAAGTCTGATCCACTCACCCACTGTACAGATATGTCTTCCCTCCTTCATATAGGAAACTGTGCAGTGTTATTCGATCCACTGTAAATTTCTAGTTCTCCGACCATTCGCTTAACAAATTTAACACTAGTCAATAATCCTCACCTGAATCAACTTTCATACACTTTCATGAAATAATAGACTAAGTGGCCTTTCAAGATCACTTGCGGCCTTCAAATATCATCATAAGCCTCCCTGTCAAAACAAAAAGATGGCATTCTACATTATGATCTAGGGACTGCAAAGACTGCCTGAAAACTAGAGCATTCCTGCAAGTTTCTGAGAACCAAAAGATGCTGGCAGATGAAAGGTATACAATACAATCTGCTATGTAAATAACAAATACCAGGAACATTCTGCAGAAAATAGCCTTGGCCGGGCGCGGTGGCTCACGCCTGTAATCCCAGCACTTTGGGAGGCTGAGGCGGGCAGATCACGAGGTCAGTAGATTGAGACCATCCTGGCTAACACAGTGAAACCCCGCCTCTACCAAAACTACAAAAAATTAGCCGGGCGTGGTGGTGGGCGCCTGTACTACCAGCTACTCGGGAGGCTGAGGCAGGAGAATGGCATGAACCTGGGAGGCAGAGCTTGCAGTGAGCTGAGATCATGCCATTGTACCCCAGCCTGGGCGACAGAGCGAGACTCCATCTCAAAAAAAATAAATAAATAAATAAATAAAAAATAGCTTTGTAACTGATGAGAATTTGCAGGACAGAACTAGACCTGAAAGCACCGGCAGGGTTCTGTCTGGGAAAATTCAACATTCTTTTGTTGGCCCATTGGGTGAACAGAGTTGAGAGAGGCTTCTCCAGTTAGTATAAAACCTATAAAACCTCTGAACATAGCTATAACACATGGCAAAAATGTAAACCGGGGCAAAATAAGTACCTTGATCTAAAAGAGGATTATGATCTGAAACACCTAAGGAACTATTAATGCAGTGAAACAAGCACCAAAATGGCAAGTGGGAGACCTAGACCAAATTAATGGTCCTGCCAAATGTTTATAATAGGCTGATCCTTGTGCATATGAATGACTCACCAGTCCCCAAATTAGAAGAACTACTGAACAAGGATCTCATTACCCAGACCCAAATGCAGAGACAGAGCTGTCATTAGCCTTCATTCACAAGAGAGTAGTAAGAAGGAATAATAATAAAAAAGTTTAGAAGACATTTGATGTAACTGAAAGATGTATCTTAAAAACTAGAGATTTTATAGGTTCATTGTGCAAAGATCTGAGACAAAATAAAAATATGCAAAGCCTCAATATGGAGAAAAAGAAGAGAGCAAATAAAATACTGATCAGAAAACAAGGTGAAAACTGTAAAGATAAAGGCATCATTTTCATATAAATATCGTTTCAAAATCAGTCTGGTGGTTTTCGCTGTAGTATTTCATACCTGGACAATGGTCACTGGTTGCATTGTTCAGAGATTAACAGGAATCCAATTAGATTAACAAGCTGAAGACCTATTATATAATCAAACCACTGCCGAGCTATTATCTTGTTCAATGACACACACAGACACACAACTCCATTTAAAACAAATTGAGATTCCCAACTAGAAAGAGTAGCTTAATGTTTTGCAGCTTTTCCAATAGGCAAGGGTTGTTTTGACTTCACCTGCTCTGCAGAATGAAAATGAAAAAATGAGATAAAAAAATGAATTAACTTCCTAATAATAATAATTGTCATGATAACTCTATGTCATTCTCCAAACAGGAGAGCCGACGGCCCCTTACACATACATATGAGCACTGTACAATAGAACATAATTCAGCCAAATTCTCTGCCACTTTCAAACAAGGCATGCTTTCCTTCTAGTGTCCAGTAACATGTTCCTCATTTCCATCTGAGACCTACCCGGAGTCTCCTTTAATGTCCATATTTCTACCAACAATATCTTCAGGACAACCCAGGCTGCTTCTATCATGCACCTTAAAATTCTTCCAGCTTCTACTCACGACACAATTCCAAAGCCACTTCCATACTTTTAGGTATTTGTTAGAGCAGCACCCCATTTCCCGGTCCCAAGATCTGTATTACTTTCCTACAGCTGTCATAACAAAGTATCACAAATTAGATGGCTCAAAACCACAGAAACGTTTTTCTCTCTCAGTTCTGGAGGCTAGAGGTCTCAAATCTGAGTATTGGTAGGGTTGGCTCTTTCTGGAAGTTCTGAGGGAGAATCTGTTCCATGATGTTCTCCAGCTTCTTAGTGGTTGCTGGCATCCTTAGCATTCCTTCCTTTGCCGTTTTCACGTGGCATTTTCTCCTCTACGGGTGCCTATCTTCTCCATTCTTATAAGGACATGAGTTATACTGGATTAGGGCCCACCTTAATCCAGTAAGACCTTGTTTTATCTTTGATTACCTCTGCAAAGAACCTATTTCCAAGTAAGATCACACTCACAGATACTGCAGATTAGAATTTAAACATATCAAAATTTTTGGAAGACAAAAATCACCTATCACAGGAAAATAAAATAGTCGAAAATTATGGGTGGGCCTGGCACCATGGCTCACTTCTGTAATCCCAGCACTTTAGGAAGCCAAGGCAGAAGGACTGCTTGAGGCCAGGAGTTCGAGACCAGCCGAGGCAACATAGCAAGACCCTATCTCCATGAAAAAGATAAAAATTAGCCAGGTATGGTAGTGTACATCTGTTGTCCCAGCTACTCAGGAGGCTGAGGTGAGAGGATCAGCTGACCCAGGAGTTTGAGGCTGCAGTGAGCTATGATTGCGCCACTGCACTGAAGCCTGGGGGACAGAGCAAGATCCTGTCCCTTAAAAAGAAAAAGTTGATGAAAAATCTTTTTTTTTTTTTTTTTTTTTGAGAGACAGAGTCTTGCTCTGTCCCCCAGGCTGGAGTGCAGTGGCGCAATCTCAGCTCACTGCAACCTCCGCCTCCCAGGTTCTCCTGCCTCAGCCTCCCAAGCAGCTGGGACCACAGGTGTGTGCCACCATGCCCAGATAATTTTTTGTATTTTTAGTAGAGACGGGGTTTCACCGTGTTAGCCAGGATGGTCTCGATCTCCTGACCTCGTGATCTGCCCGCCTTGGCCTCCCAAAGTGCTGGGATTACAGGTATGAGCCACCGCACCTAGCCAATGAAAAACCTTTATACATCCAAGAAGCTCAACGAACTTCTAGTATATATGCAAAGAGAGTCACAGATACATAATTAAAATGCTAAAAGCCCAAAACAAGGATTCTGCAGACCCACTCCGTTTTGTTAAAAATAAAATTAAAACACACACACACACTCATGGAGAAAATACTGAAAATCAAGATAAAAGAAAAAAACAACTCATCACAAGGCAACCCAAAGAAAATTAATGGCTAACTTCTCATCAGAATCAACAGAAGCCAGAAGGCAATAATATAATATATTCAAAGTGTTCCTAGGAAAAAACTGTCAGCCAAGAATCCTACGTACAGAAAAGTTATCTTTCAAAAATGAGGATAAAAAAAGACATTCCCAGATAAACAAAAAGTAAGAAAATTTGCGATAACAGGCCCACCTTACAAAATACACTAACATAAAGTTCTTCAAGCTAAAACAAGTGGTCCTAAACAGCAATTCAAATCCACGTGAAAAAAACAAAGAGCACCCGTAATTATGTAACTATAAAATATCACATAAATGCCTATTTCTTCTCCTCTCTTCCCTTTACTGATTTTAAAAGCAATTGTATAAAACAACATGTGTATAACTGTATTGCTGGGCCTATAACATAAAGATTTTTTTAAAAACCAATATCCAACTATAGCTGTCTACAGGAGATTCACTTTAGAATTCAAAGATACAAGTAGCAGTAAAAGAAAGAAAAAGGATAAAAAAAAATTCTATGCAAATAGTAAAGAGCTAGCATGACTACATAAATATCAGACAAAATAGACTTTAAAACAAAAATCATTATAAAGACCAAGAAGGCTGTTACATAATAATAAAAAGGTCAATTAAAAAGATATAACAATTGGGCTGGGTACAGTAGTTCATGCCTCTAATCCCAATGCTTTGGGAGGCCGAGGTAGGGAGGATCACTTGAGGCCAGAGAGTTTGAGATCAGCCTGGGCAACATAGAGAGCATTGCTACAAAAATAAAAATAAAAAATTAGCTGGGCGTGGTGGCATGAACCTGTAGTCCCAGCACTTCAGCCCAAGAGTTTGAAGTTACAGTGAGCCATGATCACGCCACTACACTCCAGCCTGGGCAATGGAGTGAAACCCTGTCGCTTAAAAGAAAAAAAAGAAACATAACGATTCTGAACATATAAACATATGCTCCTAGGAACAAAGCTCCACAATGTAGGAAGCAAAAACTGACAGAATTGAAGGGAGAATAGAAAGTTTAACAATAATAGTTAGAAACTTCACGACCCTACCTTTAACAATGGATTAGACCAACTAGACAAAAGAACCATATGCTTAACAGAACTAATAAAAAGACTTACTTACGGAAGCTGCCATCCTATTTAACTTACAATCAAGAAACAGTAATTTACATTAATTCATAATCTGCTTCATTTAACTGGCCCACCTATGAACAGTGTATTTGGGCAACCTTATTCATTAAATATCCTCCTACCTTTTCTTACCAAAAATACATACATACATAAAAGAGGTTGCCAAGAGAATATTTAAAGATGATCTCTATCACCAAGAGCCTTCAGATAAGCCAGTAAAACTTCAGAAGTTATTAACACTAATAACATATAACAAGCAGACAACAGAGCTTATTTAAAGTCTTCTACGTATAAGAACCTAGTTTTTGCAGGTCCCTGGTTCTACTTTCTTCTGGAGCAAAAAGGTCTAGAAAAGGCTTTCCTGTTTTGAGGCTAATAAGGACTTCAAAAACATTCACACGTTTTTCACCCACCTCCTATGTTCCTCACAAAAGGTAAATTATATCATAGAAGGCAATAGGTAGAATAGAAAGAAATGAGAAAGAATACATTTAAGGAAACCCTCCAACAAAAAGTCACCAAAAACTAATCGCAGTGATTAATAATGTCAAATATGCTCAATTAAAATTTTACAATGTGTATAATTGAAAAATAATACTAATTCAGCCTATTTCAAAATGTTTAATGTTATTGAGCTTTAAAATATATCACTGATTAATAGTTAATTGCCAGCTTTTATATTTGTAACCCTATTAAGGTCATTTTTATCTTATATAATCATTTGGACCATAGGCAATAACTTAACACTGCTTTTTTCACTATTAAAAAACATTATCTTTTTAACAATAGAAAAATTCATAAACCATCATAATTAAAGAATTCAATGACAGTTTTCGATATTTGAAAAGTGTGCTAGGGCTGGGCGTTGTGGCTCATCCCTATAATCCCCACACTTCGGGAGGCCTAAGCAGGAGGATTACTTGAGCTCAAGAGCTCAAGGCTGCCATGAGCTATGATCACGCCACTGCACTCCAGCCTGGGTGACACAGCAAGACTCTGCCTCAAAAAAACTGTGTTTACTAGCCCTGTATGAAAAAGGAAAAAAAGGCAGGGGGAACTACGCTAGCAAAAACAATTCTTTCAAGAAGTCAAATTTCAATAAAAGACTGAATTAAAAAGGATATGGATATACAAAAAAAAGGACGTTTCTATTTGTCTTTGCGTATTAAATAAAATATACATTGTATATTAAATAAGATATACATCATATTTGACAAAATGAATAAATGCAGTATATGGCATATATGTAAATTTCTTGATCCCAGAACAATGTACCTAATAATAAATATTTGGGCTCCAAAACACTGTGGCCATTAAGAATGGGAATAAAATGATACACATGATAGTCAAATTCAACTGTTTCTCTAGCAAGAGAAGTATATAGAGCTGTCCTTCCTTGTGGTCAGTACAAGGAAAAAGCAGAGAGGAAGGGAGGAGAGGCATTCCAGGACCAAGAAAATGGGAACTCAACCCTCAGTGCAGCTGTCCAGTGACTCGTCTCATTCCATCTCTCTCTTTCCCCAAGTCCTTATATCTTTCTCACATGTGTCATTTTGCTTCAAAGCGGCTAAACCTGGAAGGCACAGGAAGGTAATTAGCATCTGCAGGCAGCCCACACCAGGGACAGACTATGGGATTTCTTAAAATCAAGACCTTGTGAGTTGTATGCTTCAGTGACTTAAGGATAATTTGGGAAATTAGACTGGAGTAACTTTTATTGGACTAATTAGTGATTTTAAACTACACTTTGGGGAAGTCCCTTTAGCGAGGACCTAAGAAAGGAAGGGGGAAATGGCAATAGAATCAGTTTCATTTTATCTGCTTTAAAAAATGAGCTTCTTATAAGGATGTGGGACTTTTTCAGCTTTTTAACAAGGTTTGGAAACTACCAAATTAAGCCATTTTGCAAGTCCCAACTCCCAGGTAAAGTCTATGAGCTAGATTACCATCAAC